ATGTGGACAACAGGGGGTGAGGGTGAGGGCAGGATTGGGGGGATGAGAGGACATTGGGGGGATAAGGACACATTTGTAATATCTTAATCAATAAAGGGAAAATAAATTTAAAAAAAGACTTGAGAAGTTTGTTTCTTCTCTGGGATTAGTACCTTCTCTGGTAATTTTACAACCAGCTTCATTGTAGCCTCTCTACTCTCTGTAATTCTTTGAAATGTTTGAGTGAGGCTCCTCCTCTGATGAAAAAATGGCTAGACGAGCAAAAAGTGATTTTCAATCTTGAAGTAAACAAATGAATTCAGAAAAAGCAGGGTGGTAGAGATCACCAATGACCTTGCATGCATATAAGCATAACCAATGGACACAGAAAATAGAGGGGTAAAGGCCTAGGCTCTGGGGCAGGGACAACCTGGGAGAGTTCAATGGGGGAAAAGGGGGACATGTAATACTTTCAACAATAAAAATTTTTAAAAAATTGTTTTCCCAATTCAGAGTTCAGCAGATAGGAAAATAAAGTTGTGTTTTCATATCATTTTCTTCATTTTTCTTAATAATGTACTTTCTCTTTTTCTCCTCTTACTTCATTTACCAGTAACCCAAGGGTTAAAAAAAGGTGAAAAAATTCTAATTTCTTTCCACAGTCATAGTGCCTCAGGTATTATTACCATGATTTCATGATAGAGATCCTCATCTCCATTTTTGTTTTGAGGAAACTGACATTTCAAACAATTAAGCCACCTGTCTAGGTTACTTAATTGAAATAACTGAAAAAGCACATAATTTAAACATTTCAAAGTCTAAACTTTTTCTAAAGTTACACACTTTTAATGTTAAGAGTACTGATAGTTTCCTTCATTCAGAATCACTCTTATAACCTTCCTGAGCAAGCCTCAGATATTGTCATGCAAGAGATTCCTATCCACCAAACTGCTCCATCAGGGAGAAGAATCTAGGAGAGATAGGAACGAATAAAGATAAACTAATCTGTCAACTTTGATTAGTATTTTTTATTGTTTTCTAATTTAGGTTTTCTGGGATGTATTTTGGTTTGAATCTTCTTGTTTAAATTTTAGCATCACTGACTGAAATTGTTGCATTGACTACTTCAAGGTTATTTTATAGAATCACAAACTCTTTTGAAGAAATATATATTACTATATAAATTAAAAAAGAACAACAGCATTATTTTGTAATACTTATTGTGCTATTAATGCTCCATTCAGATCAAAATATGATAACTTTAGGCTTAAATGCAGTTGTCTTTCCTACATTCAATTGGGCAGCTTCATTCTTTTCTCACAGCCTCATATTCTTCCTACCATTCCATAAACGCTTCTTCATTATTCTATTAATGTCACCATCAGTATTATCTAAAATATATATTTTAAAGACCTCCTTGCTAAATATCTTATCTCTCCACAAAGAAGAAAATATAGTTTTCTTTATGTATGCCAGTTGGCATAAGGAGATAGCTAGTCAAAAATAACTTTATTTCATGTATTTATTTATGTTTACCTTTATTGTTCAAAGTATTACAGATATGCCCCATTTTTTAGCTCATTGACCCCCTTCATCCCTCCTTCCCCTCCCCCACAACAGGCCTTCACCACACTATTGCTAGAAAGGATTTGGAGAAAAGGGAATCCTCATGCACTGCTGGTGGGAATGCAAAATGGACCAGCCATAATGGAAAACAGTGTTGAGTTTCCTCAGAAAATTAAATATGGAACTGCCATTCAACTCAGTGATCCCACTTATAGGAATCTATCCTAAGAATCCTGAAACACCAATTAGAAAGAATGTATGCACCCATATGTTCATAGCAGCACTATTTACAATAGCTAAGATCTAGAAACAGCCCACATGCCCATCAGTAGATGAGTGGATAAAAAAGCTGTGGTACATTTACACCATGGAATACTATGCAGCAGTGAAAAAGAAGGATCTCTTACCCTTTGAGACAGCATGGAGGGACCTGGAGTTGTTATGCTAAGCGAAGTAAGCCAATCAGAGAAAGAAAAGTATCACATGATCTCACTTACATGTGGAATCTAATGAAAAAAAATAAACTGCAAACAAAGTAGATCCAGAGACATGGAAGTATGGAACAGACTGATGAATCTCAGAGGGAAGGGGGGAAGGGTGTGGGAAAAGATTAACCAAATAACTTATATGAATATATGCATAACTCAAAAGTTAAGCTCAAAAGATATCAGATAGAAATCATTTTAGCTAATTAAAGCACACCAAAGAAAGTTATTGTATGAGGACTAAAAGCTAATGAAAAAAAAATG